AGGCTATTCATGATGTTCAGCAGCATTACTAGAGGAAGTTGCGTTTTGGAAAATGGATTATTTCATGGCAAGAGGTGCACAAAATCTGAATGCATTGTTTTGGAATGATATGCACTAGGTGCAGGACCCACAGCTACATTAACAAGATTATTACAGTAAAATTTCCTCACAACGAATTTTTCAGTATAGCAACTTTCTTCTCTAGCCCTGGCAGAAAGTCCATGGTGTACCTCAAAATAATATGATTAATTTCCCAATTCCAGTGGAAGAAATTTCTATTGAGGAATGTTTGATTGCTTATCCAGCTAGAAATGTCTTGACTTATCAAACTTGCAGAGTCTGAAATTTGCAAACCCAAATATAACTGAATAGTTTTTGTAGCTTGGATGAAAGCTGTAAACAATGAAAAACTTGTATCTAAGTGGTTCCACACATAATGTTCAATTACCTCCAGGAAAATCTCTCCAGAAATGGACAGATTTTCCTGTTATCCTCCAAAAATAAAGAGAATTGAGCAATTAGTGGTACCAATTGATCATTTTTTGGAAAATTTTTTTACATTTTTTTTTAGTTTGGGAAAATGGCCCAAGTTTTGTGGGTACGTTATTCAATGAGAATTTTTTTGTCTAATATTATCAATTTTTGTCATGCATGAATGACTCACCTGCAGGAGTTTGTCAAATACCCTGCAAAAATTATCAAGTTCATGAATTTCAGCTACTGTTGTCTTGGTTTATTTACAGGAATACTTGCTTTGAATTTTTTAAAATATACATTGACATGATATTATCATGAATTAGCCTTGTACCACATCCATCACATTCTTGAATTATGAACTAGAAAGTGGCACGAGGTATGTATTTTTTTAAAGCAGACAATTTAATGCTGTCTGGCTGAAACTTTAGTTCTGGTATATACGAGTGACACAGCTGTGGCCATGAAATTTCAATCGAAAACAAAATGAAAGAAGCAACCTGATTTAAGTATCCTATTTCTATTTGCGAAAGTTTTCCCGTGAAAACTTTGGCAATTTTTTCGGTGACGTTTTTAAAAAAGAATACTGCAACACATTAGACGCGGGCTCAATAATGAAAATCCCCTGAGGCCGACAATCCCATAGGCCTAAAAATCTCGCAGGGCCCAAAAATCCGGTAGGTTCAAAAATCCGGAGTGCTAAAAAATTGTAACATTGTCTCTGACCGGTTTTTTTTTCAATTGTCTGGAAGGAATAAAAATCTGGCGGATTGTGAAAGTGCGAGGGTTATAATCCCTTCCAGGAGATTGTTTAGGAGGTTTTGGAATAGGGTACCTTTCTCAATAGAACCTCACCTTCATTTCCTGACCTTTCTCAAGAGAAAGTTGAGGAAGCATGGCGGAAGATGTTGCCTTCATCCTTGCATTGGTTTTGGATATAAACTCTGCACATTTCCAATGATTTTCATAGCTTAACTTTGCCTTCTGAAGAAATAAACTTGCATCAATTTGGGTGGATATCTCGTAGAATTGAAAACATATTGAATTTTTATAAATATGTTTCTTGATGTTCCCTTCATCATGTACTGTATGTTGAATATTAGGATTCAAAATGAAATACAGTATCACTATCAAACTGCATTTAGACTTTATTCATAAATTGTTTACCTACCATTGCCTTATGTAGATATCAAACGGAGTTGTTGTGATGTAATACAGTAATTCATGTTTCGTCATTATTGTACCTACAGGGTTTTTTCTCCCAGGGTGTTTTCTCGTGAACCCCAGACGCCTCCATGCACAGTTTCACGGTTCACTGACCCGCAGGAAAAAAGGAAGAATTTACTTCCTGAAACCGAATGATTAAATCAAACTGCTTTAAAATCCCTCATTATTCACTGACTTTTTTCTTCCTGCATCTTTCTTGTGTTTAAGGAAGTGGAAAATTGCTGGATAGTTCAAGAGTGGAGATTTAAATGGGATATCAATTCAATTATTGTACATGCTGTCTTTTGAACGTGAGCGCGGAAACTCAATAAGTTCCTTCAAATATGGTAAATTGGTTCCTCTTGGAGTACTGTATTTATTTATTTGGATAACTAGTGAAATTCAACCATGAAGGTCAACTATAAATTTATGAAAAAATTATATAGTTGTACTATCAATGTTTGAGGACATGGTGGAGACAAACAAATGATTGGTCTCGTTTCTAAAATGTTTTAAAACTTTCAAAAACAATTTAGCTCCAACTGATGGGATGAACTTTTCACGGGAATCTTTAAGCACTAAATTACGCCTGTCCTGAAAAAGCAAGGATATTTTCTAAAACAATTCGCCGTATTCGAATGGTCGAGCAATTTTTCAGTTGAACTTTAGTTGGAAATGATCAATGTCTCTTATTCAAATTGGATTGAAATTTGTAACTTGCGCGATCATAATTTTTTTTATCGTCAAGAACGTTAAACATCTACGTGGAAGTCAAATCCCTAGTGTATAGTTGATATTCCTTCTTGAAAATACAATGAATTGAAAGCAGAAACAAGATACAAAATCAGAATCCCCAAAAATGTTTCACTGGCCCAGACGTTGCATTGACATTGATTAAGCCAATCACAGCCCTACTAAAAACTTCTGAAATGCACTTTGAATACTTCTCAAGGCCAACTGTGAGAAATTAATAAAATATCATTCCAAAAAAGATCATTCAAATAATTTTGTTTCCGGGTATTTATCTGAAATGTCTGTATTTCTGGAAGTTAAAATCCCCGCGACAAACGAAAAAAGACGAATTTAGTTCTGAGAATTCTAGCCCATCTCGGGAAGATTATTGCGTTGTTTATTTTCTGAAGTCCTTTCTGCATTTCTCACGAAAATTTCTTGTAGCTGCATCCTTTTTGCCCAGCAGCAAGGTCGAATGTGACCGATTATTTCTCAAGGTTTGCAGACCTTGGGAAACCAATATGTGCGAGGTTCTCAGAATGGACGGGATTTCTGGAAGATTGGGGAGATTTTTAAAGCTGTTACAGGGATTCAGTCTGACCTTCGGGTCCCAGGATAATATTTTCTTTCACCCCGAAACCCATCATGGCTGACAGGTTTTTTCCTCTCTCTTGATAAGAATGTGATATTTTTTCCAGATGGACGGCTGACGATTGGAAAACGTTTGAAGACGTGTCATGCACGTACCTGCCCTCAGGCGCCGAAGGCACGTCTGTCATCCATGTGTTTGACACTTTCCGGTTTGCATTCTGCGTGCCGAAAGCGGGCAAAATGGACAAAGATGGACAATTGCTGTCACGTCTCAGTCTGTGTGTGTGCTACAGGGCACATGACACCAACGGCGACTCTCAGGAATACTGGGACAACAACAACGGTGCCAATTTCGTGATGGAGGCGCCGAAAGTGCCAAAGAGCCAGCCTCAGTCACCGCCGCCGCCTCCGTCGCCGCAGAAGGCGTCCTTGTTTATGCTGCACCAGCAGAGCCGACACCTGATGGCCATTAGCAATAAGGTGACTGTTACAGATATCAAGCTGCTTGAAAACATCCAGATGCAAGAGGCTTTTGTCCAAATGCCCTCCTTGCCAAAAGCCCCCCTTCCTAAAAAAAAGCCCCCCCCCCACCACTTTTTAAAAGTTGGATTCAAGTTTCTTAATAGTGTTTGGTGGCCATGAGAAGGGCTATTTGGTTTCATTAGTCCTCAAAAGGACTGTTCAATAATAATCTTCAACATTACCTTCTGATGCCTCTTCCTTGCTGTCACTGATGCTCTCCAAGTCATTTTCTTCTAAATAGCCATTGTACTATGCAATTTGACCACCCTTCTGATTTTTGATGATCTGAAGTGCACCAGCCATTGGACCAACAAGGTGAACTGCTGTAGATTTTGCAGAAGTCAGCAAGTGATGATGCTTTGATTTTCAAAGAATCACTGATGACCGCTGCAGGTGAAGAATCCCTTTATATTCTTAACTTACCAACATATTGGTACTTGGCCTTGTGCTGGGCCTGCTGGTGAAAGGTGCAGCTTGCCATCAAGGGTTACACGAATACCTGGTGAAAGGTTCAGCTTACCATCAAGAGTTACAAGAATATCTGTAATCCCCAATTTTTGCACCCAGGGGGCTTTTGACATAAAGGGGCTTTTGGACTACACCTGTATTTTTGTGAGTACAGATGGTTAGGTGCAACTTTCACCACCACTCCCAGTATGGTATATTTAGAACTTTATATGGTAAGCTGCACCTTTCATCAACAGGCCAGCACAAGGCTAATTAAGCATCTTCCTGTGAGTTGAGTATACAAAGGTATTCTGCACATGTAGTGGTCATCAGTATCTTAATGACTTCTGAAAAATCACCTTGTTGATCCAATGTCTGGTGCCCTTCAGATCATCAATTCAGTTCATGGCAGACTGCAATAAACAATATGACAATTAACCAGTCCTTTTCAGGACCAATTCAACCAAAAGGCCCTTTTCATTGCCACCAAGTACTGTTATGAAATGGTCATTTGTATTTTTTTTAAATGGAGGGGCGTTTTTGGTTGGCTCCCAATGCAAGAGACCTCTGAGTGCTGAGGCAATTACGCAGCCTCCAAGGAATTACATTTAAAGTACAAATCTACATGTAAGGCTGCAAAAATTGATAGAGCGGAGGCACACTCTCTTCTTGCATGTTATAAGGGGACTATTCTTTGCTCATGTCACAGGCATCAAAATGACACCACCACACACACAATCAGCAAATAAAATCTTGCTGGGTGGAAAGGAAAATACTTTGCAAATGGTGAAACTCACAGCATTCAAAATACAAAAGGGTATAACTCATCTGCAAATTTTGGACGCCGAAAATTCCACATGGTCTAAAATTGAAGCTAAAGGCGGTTTTTCAATTTTTGTGTATGCATATAAAAATTGATCCATCTGATGGATCTTTGCATATTCTCACTTTTCCAAGCACAACTTTTCTTTGGTTATGAGAGTGCGGAAAACCTTCTCCCAAGATTCTTATCTCACTGGTGCCCACGCTTCTTGTACAAACAAGGACTTTGAAAAGCCTAATTCCTTTTTCATGAAAGAATTCAATCTGTCACAGGTGACTGATGCCCAACAGGCCAAAGTGACGTCTTGGTCAGAATTTGCCAGTTGGAACCACCTGACAAATGATGCACCATACTGGTGACATCACCAACAAGAATAACTGGGCTGTGATAATCCCTGGTTCTTCTAACTGCTGATTCTTCTGCAAGTCATTTTTGTGTATGTTTTTTTTTCATATGAATGTGTGGTTTGAAATATTTCATAAACTCCTTCTTTCTTTGCAATTCTAGCCTGTTGTGGTGATGGTGCTGCGCTTTTTATATCTCTGGTGTGGATGCCAGTAGCAATGCAGAGGATTGAGTCCAAACTACTACTACATACACTGGCTGATGGTACACCTCTGCTCAGCCTAATGTCGATGAGGTCAGTGCAGTTTTCATCAGCATTCATTATTACAGTCCTAAGTATGCTGCAAAAAGGATCTACTGTATTTAATTGAGCACCACCAGCACATTTTTTCCACAAAATTGAATGGAAAAAGGGGGTGCGCGTCATAGGCAGTTGAAATTATCTGATGGAAAGAGTTGGCTTTTCTTTTGATATAACTTTGGACAAATTTTCACGTGCCAAAATAAATTTTTTAAATTTTTTCATTCTGAAAAACCTTTTGTCAAGCCCACCTTTCTAATTTCTTGAAAATATTCCCAAAAAAAAGATGCTTGAGTCATTTTTAATTTTTACAAAATTAGATAAGTTTTAAATGCCTGTCCTCATGGTATTTCACACCAAACTTTTTGAGTGAACAAAAATGATATGAAACTTCATGAAAACTTACTTACTAACTAAAATAATTTACTTACACTTAATAACTTTTTTTCTGCCAGGCTGCAGACAATTTTTGGGAAATATGCTGATCCAAAACAAATTCTATTGAAATTTTCTGGACCCAAAAAGGTTGAGGAACACTGGTCTAAACAGCGCGGAAACAAGTGTGGAATCCATTTAAAAACTTCAAAAAGCTTTTTATCTTCAATTTTTTATGAATATTCTTGCATCCCGCAAGGTCACAAGTGACTCATTGGGCAGCTTTTTATGTTGAAATTGTCCTCTCTTCACATTCAGTGTCATTTAAAAAATGAAGCAGTAAATTGTTTTCTCTCTTTTCAGGTAGTTGTCATCTTTGACTTGTCTTCTATGATGCGATTAAACTTTGAATTTAAATGCTTTGTCCCACCTTCTTTGACCACCTATATAAATTATAAATTTTCATATTAATTGCAGTGCCACTCAACAACGTACTCCTTTGCATCTGCATACAGTCTCCATGTGAAAGATATAGGATAGCAAAAATCTGAGACGAATCCTCCAATGAAAATGCTAATTCAATCTTGGATTTTTCTAGAAAATTAGACGGAAGAGGAATTTAAAAAAAAAGACGAAACTGTGAAAGGAATGTTCCTGCGTGTGTCATTGACCCTTGTGGAATAGGGCTGATGGGAAACACTTGAATGGGTTTCTGCTGAAACTGATTTTGGGAGGTGGATAGGTAAAGTTAGGTTAGGTCAGGTTATGTTAGTTGAAAGATATTTGTAACTAACATAACCCGACATAACCTAACTTTACCTAACCGCCTCCCAAAATCAGTTTTAGCAGAATGAGGAAAAGTAAAATTCACAGTTTCTGGTAGGTTGTTGTGATCATGAACTTGTCCTAAAGATTTGACTGGATGGTAGTGTGGTCTAGGAATGAGGTACTGAGATAACAGGAAAGTACCAAAAAAAGTTGTTTGTAGAGAAAATTTTGGTGTAGAGAACCCCTGTGACACGGAGCGACAAGAACCCTATATGGGACCAAAAATTATGTGGTTTTGCAGAGAAAATCATTGCAGACAGGATTGCTGTAGAGAAAGTTCACCTATCATAACTTGCTGATGCCCACATCCCCATAAAGAGGAAACGGGGGTGAACATCACTGTATTTATAATGTTTGCATGATTATTTTTCAAGCATCTGAACTAGATATGTTTTTCTTTTCGGGTTTATGGCAAACATTTTGTGAAAGCATGTTTAAAGAAGATAAATTTCCATACCCGAAAACATCCACCAGGAACAGATAATCTTTTTGGATGGTCTAATAAATTCTAATTCACTGGGTACAAGTTACAATCATAGGCTGAATTGTTCCAAAGATACAGTAAAGGCTCAAGTTAAAAATGCCCAAAATGAATGCAAAAAATTTACGAACAGAGACACATGATGCGTTTGGCCACAGACCACTATTCATCTCCAACCAGTAGCAAGCCTCAATAAGTCAAGAAAAACCAGACAAATGCTGTAAAGATGTAGAAATTATGAAGACGCAGTGTTTGTGATGTTGCATTCCTAAATGGATATCCAGAGGTAAATTTGAATTTTTTGGGAATTCTATGTGAGCTTATTTTTGGTTTTGTCAACCGGTATAACTGAAAATTGTTTAAGGATGAATTTTGCCCTTTTTTAAATCTCTGTAATCCTCTGTATCCGTTTAAAAAAAATCAATTAATAGACGGTTCCTATCTGCAGCAATATTGTCTAAAGAAATTTTCCCTTTATAAAATTATTTTTGGTCCCAATGGGTTCTCTTCACATTTAAAGAGGTTCTCTGCAATGCAATTCTCTTCACAATTAATTTTTCCCTGATCCCTTTAATTTTTTTCTAGAGAGAGTCCAGCTACTTTTGAATAATAGTCATAGGGTACTATGGGAACAGACTAGGTTGTTGCTTGATGCCACACTGCATTGGGAAAATTGAGGTACAGTCAAATGCAAAACTTCTGTAAATTAGGGATGGGTTGATTTTAATTTAAAAATGCATTTGACTGCATGGTGGTCTGCTGAGAGATAAGCCTACTACAGTTGAACATCTTCAAGTTGAATTTTAAGAGACCATGAAACAAATTAGACTTGGGGAGATTTAAAATAAAGGAGGTTTTGAGTTAGGGGAACAAGCATTTTTGTTGTGGGAAAATGGAGGAATTGCAGCAAATTTTGAATGGTTATATTCTGGGCCTTAAATTTCTTTCCTAAATGAGTTGACAGGAGGCTGAACTTGGAGGCAGGGATTTGCTTGCTTTTATTAGTCTTTTGCTTCCTTTTAATACTCATCAAGTTTATTCTTTATTGCTTTCCCCTTATTTCCTGCGTCAAGAAAAAAACAGCCAAAAGGTCTCAGAAAATTTGAGTTCTGGAGGTTCCAGAGGAAAAGCCATCCAGCCAAAGAGGTTTTTAATGCATTGTTACTAAGGGAATTCCAACCTGGACTTAAACAAAAAAAGCAACTTTTGGAGGTGTTCAATTTGTGCAGGTTCAACTGTGATTGAAATGCTTTAGCCAGGTAGTGGGAAAGTGGTTGAAAGGAACAGTGAAGTTGTGAGAAATCGATAATGAACTCCTGCCCTTGCTGGCATATACTGAAGGTTGTGACCGGCAAAGAAGGGCCAGCTAAAAAAAAAATTAAGAGGGGCGAGGTTTTCCAACTGCGTAGTTTCTGGGTCTTTCTCAGCAAAGAAGGGCGACACAGAGAGAAATTTCGACCCAGACTGAAGTCAGCTGTTCATATATACTGCATATCCTTCCTGTCTGCGGCCTCAATTTTCCGCAGATTTCACACACACACAGCTGTCTTCCTGCCCCTCATCTCATGTGCCCTTCTCTGTGTGCATTCAAATGGATTTTCCTGCTGTTCTTTGTTCCCCCTTCTTATATCACTTCCCAACTGGCCCTTGGCCCAAAAATAAATTCAGTTGAACCTTTGTAAGGGAAATTCTGAGGGTAACCAGATAAACATTGGTCTTACAGAGTTTACTCATGAGGAAAATCAGCATCTTTGCATGGGAGATTGATTTAAAAATTAGAAGGAATTAAAAATCAGTGATGTTCAGGTTGTTAAACTGCTAGGCAAATTATTGGAGGATGCTGAACTGAGAGGAAAGGGCACATTTGCACTTCTTTCCTTTGAAAAAAAAAAATCAGGAAATTATATTCATAAAATATATGGTTACCGGTACTTATTGATGCCAATTTAGACACATATAATTTTTGAAGCCCTCTTGTTCAGCTTCTGTTGAGAAGAGAATGCACTGATAAACCCCCAGTAAAGGGTTTTCCCTCCTCCGTCAACTTTTATTTTGAATCAAAAGCAGTCTTCACACCACTGTCATTGCAAAGACTCACTATGCTGATTTTTTTCCTTATTTACCTTTACCTTAGTTTGTAGTGCACCTGTGTTTGGATTTGTGAAATTCACCTTCATTCACTGGTGTAGTAATTTCAGTGTTTCTTGTGAATCATATCATTTGTTGTCATCAAATTAAACAATAAATTGTTATGAAAAAAAAAACTAGGAAGACATGCACAAAGTTTTCCCTTGAATACTGTATACAGTATACTCTTTGCTGCAAACTGGCTGATTGCCCATGCTCAAGTTTTAGTTCTGTGCCTCTATGATCTGTTCTTTCCTTGGGTTCTGTTAATGTTCAGCAGCTTTTATTGAAGATACTCAATTTTGTTTTCTGAGATCCACAGTAATGAAGGTGGACTCTGTGTACAACAATCTTGTCTTCAAGGCTTTTCTCTAGATAATGAATTTTTGTGTAGTCCCACATGGTCAACTCCCCATGTTATGGTGTTCTCTACAACAAAATTATCTCTACAAAATTTTTTCCTGGTACAGGTACCTTGAATTTGTTGTGGAGAGAGTCCACCTGCTCAGGTGGTACCCTGCAATTTGACCCTCATCTGTTGCTGGACTGGGGACAAATTGCAAAGCAGTTGAATTGCAAGACATTGAGTAAAATTAAGAAGCGGCAGCAAAAAAAAAAAAAAGCTAGAGAAGTGGCTGAAGGAGGTCAGAATTTCAAGGCAAAGGTTGAATTGCAAGTCAACCCCCCAGCCAACTTGATCGTTGAATTGCTGGACAGTCAAATTTTGGGAGGTTGAATTGCAAGGTACTATCTGTACTATGCTCCAGTATTTAAAATACAGCACCATGAACCATCTTTTCTGGATCACAAATCTACGCAAATACAAGTGCTTGAAGAATGAATAGAACAAGTTCCATTGACTCAGAATTTCCTGCTTACACCAAGGTGAACCCAATATAGAGCAGATATTGAGCCATGTTTCCTCCTCTTGAGTCCCAGTGGTTTCCTCATTCATGTGATGCACGTGACCTGCGCATGATCGTTTTCACTGACCTTGCTTCTTATCATTCCAAGATTCCAGCTACTCCCAAAATACATAAAAGAGGATGCAAATGAATTCCGCATGTTTTTATGCAATCAATCATGGCGGAGACACCGGAAGAGATGCCGATGGTTGCATGCTATATATAGGGCTACACAGTCGGAAATGGGAGGAATATCTGAAAGTGCTGCGTAATTTCTGTTGAATGATCTTGAAATTGAATTGCGTCA